ATGTTTCTTTCTTATTCAGGTAGATAACTTATTGAGTGACCCTCGCATGAAACTTCAACTATGAATTCCAACCTTAAATATAAGGTTGGACCCACCACAAAATGCTTCTATGTCAAACCCTTCGATCTGTTCTTCCTGCATTTCAACAGCATTGTGAAAAGTTCCATCTCCTCTGGGCTTACCCTTCTATGCCACCATACAGGGTGTCGTTCACAAAATATGAGGGGAGCAGTTGAAAGACAACGAGGAAGATAGCAGATGAGCAACGCCCATTCACAGCCCATAACTCAATCACACCAGGGATGGCTGCCCAGTAGGTCTCAAGGAAGGGAACAGCAGCCAACACAGCTGCCAGCACTGCAAATTCATTTTCAACACGTTATGTATTCCAACCAGGAAAATGTTCCACGATAAGAGAACAGGAATTCAGCAGATGCTTGCCAGATGGGATGAAGATGAGTCGAAGGTGGAATAATTCATGCATGACCCATGTCCAAAGTCCATGGAACAGGGCAACTTTGAAGGTAACCAGAAACACACCTGAGATGGCATTCCGCATCGCCACACCAAATCTAAAATGGTAACAGAGCTTCGGCATGTTTGCATGCAACAGAAAGAAGATAGAGGAAGAAACTCTTTTGTGTATCATGCAACACCTGCCAATGTGAGTTAACCGCCTGCTTCCATTATCTTCATAATATTACTTTTATCATTATAATATGGCATTCACTTCTGTTGTACCATCTCGTGTTTACCTACAGATCCCACCACTGTGTGCACTAAATTGAAGTCAGATTAAATGAGCATCACCTACATATTTACTAGTCAGGAACGCCCATAATGCTGGACAGCCTTGGTTAGCCACCAATCATTGCATATTCCAAATGCAAGCAATCATAGATATGGAGGTCACATTGAGCAAATGCTGTTGGCCATATCCGATTACCCTACTTTTCTCTTCCCCATGGTCCCATTAGTGCAATGGCTCTAAAACGCCCTTTTACTCCCATAGAAGAACCGCATGTTCAGTGGTCTGCAGACCACATATTGAGAACCACTGCATTATTGTTCACATCAAATATTGCAGTCCTACATGCATAGTTTGCATAACTGAACAGGGTTAGATATTTCAAACTAGCCCTGTATGTTAGTATGCTAATGTAGTATGCTGATGCTTATTTCTCATAAAAGCATATCACTTTTCTATTTGGGGAAGCTATTCCCCGAATCTCTTATAAAACTTTAGAAACTCAGAATGAAACCCACTTGATGCTGGAACTACTGAGCGAGAAGGAAGCGACAAGCTCCACGGGCTTGTACAAAGTTCCACTAGAGCTGAGAAGATAAAAGAGTGAACTGCAAAATATGACCTGCAAGAAAAATTCTAAAGTCTATTCTAGGAAACAAGATGGACTGATCATTGACTGAACAGCCAGTTGGGCTCTCACCAGGTCAATGAAGAAGTTGAGAATGGCATTACCACCACCAAAGACCAGGTTGACCACAGAGGAAAAGGTATTGAATGCAAGGTTCACATTTTCCACCACCATAGCCCACAAGTTCTTCAAAATGGACTTGACCATGTCCACATTGTTCTTCACAAATTGCACCATGTTTGTCACGTTCATCACCTCTGAGACTAATATGAAAACTTATTCAGTATAGATACTTTAAAATATATGCAATGTAATTGCTTGGGGAAAACATTCCACAACAATCATCAATACGACGAAGGCATGCTATATGTTTCATTCCATGTTCAATTAGAAATCTTGTCCTGTCTTCATTAATATTTTGGGACCATTTGGACATTGCACTTTATACATAAACTTGCTTTCTTATTTCATTCTTACCTGACTAAAGGAGACAAAGCAAAGGAATATGGTGAAGACCTGAAGGATCATTCTCCTGATATAGCCCCAAGTTATTCTACCACTGTCCTTTTCTCCCAAATATGTACCCCAAAGATATTTTAATATAATTTGTTGAAATTCCAGATATCCAGACCAACTTTGACCAACCAGACCTTGTGAAATTCTTTCCTCCATTCCTGAGACCATTATGATTTCTTGTAACTAAATCCCAGTTGGAGAGAGAACAAACGTCCTGAATTTTGGACCATTCCACACGGAATGACACCATCTTGACATACATGAACGGGGAATGCAAAATGTTACAGAAGCACTCAAGTACTGCAAGGAACCTACAAGGTGACTTTTTGTTTGTTACCACCATATTTCCATGTACGGAGAGAGAAGCACTTCCCTCCAAAAGAAACCAATTACACCATTAACAAAGCGTGCTGTATTATGGTTTTCTTGAGTTATGCTAGCCTTGTGATTTCAATTCCAGGGATGCTCAAAATATTCTCAGTTTTTAGCTATGCACAACAAGCATCTGTCCATGGTTAAATGACAATTTTTGCAACGATTCTGTGGGATTTGTGCCAGCTGAATTTGAAGTGATGGCTTTCTTCAATTCTTTTAATGCTTGTCTGCTTCCTTGTGTATACCATGTTCTGAATTGTTCCCTGAAGAATCTGAGGGAGTCACTGAGAGTCAAGTGACAATAGTGGCTAGGTCCATTGAATTCAGTTTCTAGCAGTGGAAAATGTGCATTTTTCAAGTTTTGTTGTGGTATGGCAGCTTCTCTCCCTGTAAACTGAAGTACTGCAGTAACAAATTCATGAATCACCCAATATTTGTAAGTTGGTCAAGTTAGAAACCTTAAAGGTTTTACCAAGGAAATGATCACAGTTCCAAAAGCAGCCATGGAGGACACTAATTTCTCACCAAATTGAATTTTACCATGAATATGCTTGCTACCTCATGGCAATAACTTGCCACCTCATGGCACCTTTTTGGGTTAGTTAGTAAATTCTATAGTTTTATTTATCAAATACGAGCACAAACAATCGCAGTTAGGTAGGGCAAAGGGTAAGCCATGCAATGGGACCAGCACCAGCAATGTGCAGAGGCCACTACTGAGGCTTGTTAATGGGAAGTCATGAATGATGAGTAATAATGGGGCTCATTGTATTTGCCCAAAAGGCTGTTGCATCAGTGAACAATATCCATACTGCACTCATGGCCTATCTGAAAACAATAGATAAGGACCCATCAGACAGATGAGTTGTCAACTAGACAGTGTTTCGTCACTGCCAAGTAAGGCCATTCCTCATGTCAGTACTGCACCAATGCCACTGCTACATCTAATCAGAGACTTGCCTAGAGCAGGCACTGGGAAGGGAGGCACTGGCATAGTGGTTCAAACAGGTTTGCGTGGTGGCAGGACTTGACGCATCTTTATGAAAGCAGCCTCATGGCATAGTTTTGATCATGATGTTTCAAGGCATGAAATGTCATGGCACAGGTGTGGATCAAAACACTTAAGGTGGTACATATTCATAAGGAGTTTGATGAAGTTTGTGGAAAGTCTCTTATTCCTACAACCAAAATATCTAGATGGGTGCAGCAATTTGAGAGGGACAGTCCTCTGATATTCCCTTCAACCCTCATCCTGGCAAGCTTTTTTACAACCTATTCCGGGCAAGGTGAGTCTGTCAGACTCATGTAAAATAANAAATACTTTTTGGTCCAGTTAGAAGAACAAAAACCTTATTGTGAAAGGTTAAAGCACACAGCGATGGCACACTGCAAGTCCAATTATGTGCAATGCTGAATGCTTAAGGTGACATTTCTTTCTCCTTTAATCCATCATGGAAATTCAGCACACCCACTACAGCCTGATTTTCTGAGGAACACAATACCTGAGCAAAGAGACACATCCCAGGTAACACTGAATCAACATTGATTGGATGTGGATTGAGTGTACAAATGTTGAGGATTGAAGTAAAACAATCAATGTTGTTTCAATGTTCTGTGTTACCAAGGTAGTGCAGCAAAGGTGCAATCATAATGAAGAACAAAAAGTCCTCACTAGATGGTATCCATGTTCTCCTGTAGCCTCCTAATGCAATTATGGATCAGACATCCAGCATTAAAGCATTTTTCCCCCCTCCTATTTTTATGTAATTAATGAACATATACATTAGATAAATGTGGCATTTTGATTTTCTGTTTGCAGCATCTGATTCTGTAACAAATTAAATGTATAGGTTTTGCAAGGGCATGTAGAAGTAAATTTGATTACAGATATGTAGAACACACACAATCACAAACTGGAGTGATTCATTCACAAATCATAAAAGGGATGCTGAGGGAATTTATTCTCATTCTGTGAACCATACAGAATATCAATGCGCCAGAGCTGTTTGCAGAACTGAAGAGGATACATCCTCTCAACTTTTTCAGTACTCCAACCTTTGGGTACTGCTTTATAGGAACTGAAGAGGATTTACTCTCCTTAATAAGTATAGCTCATTATTCATGTCACATAATTCATAATGTTGAATTTACCTCTACTTTGGAGGAATGAAATTATCAAAGATTCAAGGAATGTTGATGCAATGTGGAAATGATATTGAATGAGTGCTACCATCAATATAGTTTCAATATTAACAAGGAATGTTTAAAAAAATGTCGAAGAATGTGACATCTTCAGATTGAATCAATGTGGTATTTCAATGTTGTTTCAACATTCAAAATGTGGACATGAAACATAGTTTCAATGTTGTTTCCACATGGATCCATATTTGATTTTTAATCATTTTTATCTTCCTATTTTTGCACTTGATTTTCGTCAATCCTGTTTTCCTGGTTCATTTTAAGATAGCACATTAGACAGGTCAGAATATCCACTATTTCCCTCAGCCACTCATCACTCATTCTAAGTCTTGTGCGGAGAGATGTATTAGTCATTCTTGTGACGAGGACAAAAACAAACAAAAACTAATGGCAAGCAAGCCCATGCAAAAGGGGCTATCCAGAGCAGTATCTAGAAAAAGTGGGATTTGTGCCTCTGAAACATCTTTCTCCTTAATTAATTTTTGAAATGAAGTTTTCCAGCCTGAAGTTTTTCCTTTCCAGCAGGAAAATGGTTACCACTTCATTTAAATAACATATCAGAACAATATTCAAATAATAGTGAAGAGGACCAACTTGGAATCTTCTGAGCAGTACTTGAGATCTCTCCCCACTGAAACCTTGGATAGCCTTCCTTCATGCCAACATAGCCCTCATACTCCTCATAAATCTTGTCCCATAACTCAAGAACTTGCTTTTCCAGCTCTGGGGACTTCACTTCATTCGAGTCCCCTCTCAGGCTCTGCACCTAGAGAAGACCACAATACAAACAACACATCTTGCAAAAGCATTTTCACAGTCCATGAAATGTGAGGAGATGAGGCTCCTCCTTACATTTCATGGACTGTGATATTTTCAAATATTGAAAATATAATCTGAGGAATTCGTGGAGGCATGTTGAATCATCCCTAGCAACATTCAAGGCTGGGCAAATGTTCAGAAGCACAGGAAGTTGCAAGAATGAAACATTTTAATGAAGCAGATGCTCAAACTGATGACCCCTACCTTCAAGCAGGGCTAAGTCCTTCATCATATCATGATACTTATCTGTAATGTCCTATTAACAATATGTCTACACATCACAATATTGTTTTTCAGCTTAACAACACCCCTTCCTGATCTGATGAATCTTGCTTGCATGTTTATGGGGCCGAGAGCAAGATGAAAAGCCAGATGATTGATGAAGGAAACCTAAACATGGAAGCTTTCATCACTGTTGGCCATTCCCCCAAAATCACTAGGCATATAAGGGATAGACACAATGAAAGGAAATTAAATGGGAAGGTTTCACTCCATTGTGATGATCCCCAGCCATTAGATTCATGGAGCACAGGAAGGGGGTGGCATACCTCACTCTGTGACACCACCCCCAGCCACCAATATGAAGCATGTACAACTAAATGGAAAGAAATGTGACCCGTCTGGCAACACCCCCTGGCAAAGTGGTAAAGGTGATCAGCATTCTGTCAATTTTGTAGACCGTCAACTTTAGCAGGTCATCAATAAATTACCATCAACTACTGATAATTTCACATTTTCACTATTTCAGCACTTTTGATATGAAGAGAAAAAAAATAGACAGAACACTTGGTGCTTTAGAGATGCATATGTTTGAATTATCCAGTCAACTTTCTTTCTAATCCGAATAATCGGCAGGGACTACCATACATTTACACTCAAAAACTACTAAAAGTATAATAATAAACAACATTATTGATTGCATCTCAATATAGTTAGTTGCTCTATTATTCATGTAAACCAGGGACAGCAGTATTGCATTAAAGAGTGATGTTAGACCTTGTTAGATATGAAGTCTTGTGTGCTAAAGCACGCTTCATTGCAATAATGCTACCCCTGATACGGTTGATGTAATACTCTGACTTTATATTTAAAATATCATCTGGAACATGGAACTACCTCCTCGTGGTGACGGAGGGCAACGGGCAACTCCCGGCTAAGGCTCCAGACAGAATAATATGCCGTCATGGCAGATGATGAGCACGGGGGGGGGGGTCTCGGGCGATACCCTCTCAAATAAAGCCCGCCAGTAGCGTAGCTACCGAATGTGCAGGCGGTGCGACTGCACCGGGACCCACGGGTCGGAGGGGCCCAGGCGTCAAGCTACGAAGATGAGAGAAGGCAGGGGAGGGGGGGGAGGAGGTTTTAGCTGGAAGCCCTTTGCCATCGGGACGAGATGAGAGCCAGCAGCCGAAAAGGAAGGTCAAAAGGAATCAAAGGAATTCGACGCGACACTGCACAGAGACATCTCGCAACTAGGACGTCACTTCGTGTGGTTAAATGAAGCGGTGGCCACTTCCAATACCATTCACTCAGGGCCGGATTAAGGGGAGGCTGGTAACTAGGAAACAGGCCCCTATGAAACATTTATGCACCCGCCACTGCCTTCCACACACGTCTGCTACGGACGACGATTTATATGCTGCCAGAGAAAATCTAGCAAAAAAAAGACTCCCACATAACTCAATAGTATCCGATTCGGCACAGCAACGTGGTGTTAACATTGAGAAAAGGTTGAAGCTTTGAGACTTGGTTGAAGTTGAGGGAATATGACGAAGAATCAACATCGATTAAATGTTAGCTATTCGTAATTAACAGTATTGTCAGCATTTGGTGACTGCTCGTGAATTAGCGAGGTCGTTCAGAGGCTATTAAGCGGAAATTTGTTTTCCAATATAGTTTCTTTGTTGTTCCTGCGGGGATTAATCCACATCATATCAACAGAAAATAGGTTCTACGAATCGACACGAGATGGCGCCTAACAGCCGATTCAACGATTCTTACCTTGGTGCCCTGAAATAAACAGTACCTTGCATTTTTCATACAGTACCCGATCTCTTCCCATGTACAACATGAGGGAAGGCTTAGGAATTCCTAGATAGACCTGTTTAAGGAGGTAACCTGGCAGGAGACTCAAAGTACTTCCGGCCAGTGGGTCTGAGGAGATATGTTCAATTTTTATAAATCTCCATATGGCAGGCGCCCTCACACGTCTTCTTCCAAAGAGGATAGAGCATGTAAACATGCTCGAGGGTTTGTTTTCCCTCTACTGGACAGAGAGAGTTGAGTCAAGTCCATTCGAATTCTGATCCAGTAAAGGGAATAAAACTTTGATGGTCCTTTACATGGGATGATTGTACTCAATAGAGAACTGCTAGTTGATGCCATTTGGGTACTCTGCGTGGGGTAATCGAATCTATATTCATTCTAATCGGCTAATTAGTGCTCTTTCAGACTCTGGATAAAGGAGGATGTACTATAATGCCCGTACGTCCACAGTTCCACGTTGCATAGCAGCAACTTTTCTACGTTGAGCTGTGTTTCATTACAACGTTCTCTCAACATTGTGGCAACACGTTAAGTTGAAAAATCAACCTTTTCTCAACGTTGACACAACGTTGCCGAGCCGAATGGGTAAGAAATTGGACAGCGGGCTCCGTTTCATTCCTTGCGCCAAGGCACATGCCAACCACGCTACGCCACGAAAACCCACGCTGGTAGGTTAGGTAGAGGTCAGCAAGTGAATAGTATGCTACAGTCTCCTCCCCAGTCTGCGCTTGTCATCGGGGCTCAGGCTGATAATCAGCTGGCTACCGGTGAAACCCAAAGATACTTGTCCTGGGCTGGTTGTGGGAAGTATCTAAGGAAAGAGGGTCGGCATTCTTTGGCTGGTCCAGAGAATGCCGAAAGGCATTTTATTCAAGAGAAGCGCTTACAACGCCATGAAGGTTATAAGCGTGGATCATTTCCGAACAGCAAGGCTGTTACGGATTCGGATTTTACCTGCCATGCCTGCCGGCAGGCATGTAGAGGCGCTAAAACACCGTCTGAAGCCACTATGCAGCTTAGCATCAGACGAAGCGCAGCTACTCACAAAATATGTTTGTTTGGCTGTATGTCGCCACATGTATTTATGGTACCGCAGGCGGTAAGAAATAAGGTCTTGGTGGACCATAGATTTTCATTACTGGAGTCGAAGGGTCGCGTTGTTGCGCAGGCACCTTTCGAGTAACGAATGGGATTCCCTTCCTTTTACTGACAGATTATCCGTTTTTAATCAGGCTCAAGTTGAGGATATGGTTGAAAGTCTTGGGAAATTGGCTGTCGAAGAAAGATCAACCTGCTTCAACTTTGAGTATCTGGAGGAGATGTCCGATTCGCTGATCAAGAAATGAACTGGGTTATTCAAAGGCCAGTTCCAGGAACTCAATTTTCAATATTCCTCGGTCAACAGCTGAGCTGATGATAGGGAAGGCAAGGGATTCCCTTTTGCAAGACTTTCTTCCCCTTCATCTGGGTCTTTCCAGGCTGGACCGGGAGACTCTTTTAGGCCACAATACTAGTACTATGGTGGCCAAGGAGCTTTTCTGCGGGCAAGATGTGAATATGGTGATAACTATCTGGGATGGTACCTAAGTCTACAAACAGAGAAGTTCCAACTACAGCTTCCAAAGGAAGTCCTTTAGAATGCATAAATATCGCCCCCTTCTTAAACCATTTATTGGAGTTGCAGCAAATGGGCATAAAATAGATGTTTTTGGCCCCTATACAGCCAACACATCTGGGGCCGTATTCACGAAAACTTCGTAAGTCCTCCTTTCATTCTAACGAACTCTGTCGGTATTCACGAAACTTCATAGCTATGATAATAGCTGACCAATCATAGCTGATATCGGGAGCTAGCAAACCAATCACAGAGTGGAAAGCAACGTGCTTATCACACTGGCAGCATGACTCACGTGTCCTGTCACAAAGGCCTTCTGCAAACTTCCTGCGTCTACTGTGACAGTTTTCGCCCTTAGAGGAAGTTTTGACACAATTAGGAGTTCTGCCGAATCTTTGGAAAAACATCCTATAGGACCGTACCATTGAATCTTATCGTAAAGCAAACTACCTCAAGGTTTCAGAAATGCCGAAGGAAGCGTTGAGGGTACAGTATCCAAGTTGAAATCATGGAGAATGAAGGAAAGAGTGGCCGATGACAAAATTTCTCAAGTGAGGATATCAGGGTACTGATTGAAGAAGTTGAGCAAAAGAAGAATGTCTTGCTGGGGAGGTTAAGTTCAACCATTACAGGAAAAATGAAGTTGCAAGCCAAGCAAGATTCAGGGGCCAATCTCATGACCTGAGGGAAAATATCTCCCAAATGAGGCCGACCCAATGACCTCCGCAGCAAAATCCTGTGAATCCAAGGTGGACATATTCTGCGAACTTGTGTAAATGAACTTTAGCTTTTTTGAGACACTCAATTCAAGTTCAAGTTCCAGAAATTTCCTTGAGTTCATTATGGCGGACACTTACGATACCTCAGGACGAATCGTAGACTTACGAAGAAAGATACGAACTTTTGCCCTTTCGTGAATTCGTGTCCAGCAATCTTAAGAACTGTGTACGATGACTCGTACCAAGTTCTTACGGACGCGCTGAGCGTATAAGGGTTAAATAAGCTTGAAAGATTGTCCCTGAAAAACTGGGTGGTCTTTTTACCTACTGTTCCCACGATAACTGGAGAAGGTGTCGCGGAATAACATCGAAAAGAATAGCATCGACACGGAACTGCTTCGACACCAGCGAAAGACGGAATGACTTCGACAGGAACAACATCGACAAAGAAGTATCTCGACACGAGAAAATCCTGTCGAGATAATTCCGTGTCGGCGCTGTTACTTTCGATGTTGTTCCTTGTCTGTATAAATCCGAAAGTGTTCTGTCGAAGCAGGTCTGTTTCTGTCTATTTCCGTCGACGTATTTCCGTGTCGATGCCATACTACACCATATACTTTTAAGAAATGTGCGGAGTTGAATTCGTTT